TTCGAAAATTAGCGATTTTTAAATTTGTAATTTTTTTGGAGGTTTCCCCCTTATACGGTGAATGAGGGAAACTTTTTCAATTTTTAAGGGCAATGTCTTCGACTAGATACGATTTGTGATCTTTTGATGTATCGTTGAAAGAAATCCGTTCAGTGAGAGCTGAGGAAAAGTGGTAACAGACACAAAAAAAAAACACATCATAGTAAAACCAATACCTTCTCAGCTTCGCATCAAAGCTAAAATATGCTTTTATTTATCAATTTTTCATACTAATTTCAAATCGGCAATTATATGTTTTTCATCATCAATAATAATTTTTAATATTATTACTAATTAATTAAAAACTACAAAGAAAATAGTACTGATTATTTCAATTGTATCATCTATTTCAACACCAAGAATTATTAATATTTCTTTTGAAATGATTTATTACAACAAAAAAATTATTAATAACTAAAAAATTGTTTTTAAATTATTACAGATTTTGATTTTTAATATTTTAAAAATAATCATTGCAAAATATCATTTTTAACCTATTTTTTTTTGATGTTTTAAAGTTGATTTTTTAAAAGTTTATAATAAAAAAAATTTGAATTTGTTATCATAACTTTTAGCTCAACTTCAAGTTCGAAATTTACATTATTAAATAGAAATTTTTATGAGAATAAAAAAATAGTATTATTTAGATTAATATGCAGTCAAGAAATTGTATAATTACTATGTACTGTAAATTATCAGAAATGCTTAATATTTTTTTTTTCATTTTTATTGTAATAGATCACTTAAATAGCAATCATATCTGAGTAATTTTGGTGTTTAAAAATATTCTACAATTGAAATATTCAGAACATTTTAATTGTCTATGTGGAGAATGTAAGCTAAGTAAATTTTTCATTGATAAAATGGAAATTTTTTCAATTTTTGTGGGTAATATCTTTAACTAGATAACAGTTGTGATCATTTTATGAATTGTTAAAAAAGTTAGTTAAGTGATATACGATAAAATAAATGAAATTCATAATAAAAAAATCACATACTAAAAAATCTTTAACATAAATAAGAAATTTCTTCAAACGAGGGCAGACTACAGTGATGGAGTCCTTCATATGTATTAAAGTTATTGAATCTAAATGGAATAAAAATCAAATGATTTAAAAATTGTTTACAAAAATCATATTTTTTTTATTAACGTTAATGTCCGTTTTCACCATATAAACAAAATAAAGTACAAAATTTTTTTTTTTTTCATATTAAAGTGTATTACATAAGCTTTAATTTAAGATATATATAAAAGTGTCAGTATTTCCGCAATACTTACAAAATTGAAGTTGAAAATTCTCTACTTTCTATATATACTTTCTAACTATTTTTAGTTTTGAACACTCTATATAAAGAGAAATGGTCCGATTTTAAAAAAACGTATGTCGATTGAAAGAGGTATATAAATAGTATTTCTTATGAAAAAATTGTATTGATCTATTCATTTTTAAAAAAAGTTATGGCAGTTTTAAGTCAAAAAAAAAAAAAAATTGAAAAAATGTCAAATTAGCGTTTTTAAATTTATAATTTTTTTGCAGATTTCCCCCTTATACGGTGAATGAGGGAAATTTCAATTTTTGATGGTAATGTCTTCAACTAGATATAGATTTGTGATCTTTTGACTTATTGTTGAAAGAAATCAATTTGGTGAGAGCTGAAAAAAAATGGTTACGGACACAAAAAAAACACATCATAGTAAAATTAATACCTTTTCAGCTTCGCATTGAAGGTAAAAAACATTACACCCCAGAATAAAATCCTGACTTCATGTCTACTTTTGAACTTTTTTATTACTATTAAGAACTACTTTGAAATA